AAAATATTTCTAACCTTTTATAGCAATTCTTAATAATGCCTATTAAAATTCATGATAGTTCATTCCCTTTGGTGGTACAGCATTAAAGCCATTTTTTTCATTCAATTATTATTATTATCTTTCTCTTTCTCTTGTTATTGATCTAAATATTAATTATGCATCTTCAGGAGTTATAATAGCAGGATAAATACTGAATTAAGAGGCAAAATTAGTAAACCCTTTAAATTATAATAATTCTTTTTCTACTCCTGCATTTTCAATCTTCCAATCAGTATATTCTTAATATGAATGATAAATTGCTTATAATTATTTTTCATATTTCTTATAAACTTATTGAATATCTTAATTTTGTTATAATTATTAAATTTTTTAATGCATTTACTTTTCCCTTTATCTTACTTCTTATTCTTATTAAAGCATTACCTCAACATTGTTTTTCCATTCTTTTATTTCCTCTTTTGCTTTCTATTCTTTTTATTTCTCTTATTATTCTTTATCTTTAAATTCTTTTTTTTTTTATTCTAATAATTTACTTACTTCTTCTTTTTATTTCTTCTAAAACTCTTCTCTTTATTTTCTTTCTAATTCTTACTTCTGTTTTTACATTTCAATATTTTAAGCCTCTTTTATCTTACTTTCTTCTGCCATTTTTTCTTTATATTCTCTTAATTTTAACTTTTTTTCTTCTGCTTCTTTTTTTAATAGTTCTTGTTATTTTTTCTCTCTTTCTGCTTTTTCTATCATCTCTTATCTGTCTTCTTACTTCTTTAATTATTCCTATTCTTCCTTCTCTTTCTTTTTTCTCAAATATTCTTATTTTAACTTTTCTTAATGTTTTTTTCTTTTCTCTTCAGCTTCTTATTTCTTTTATTCTTCTTCTTATTATTTTAATAATTTATCTTCAATTGCTCTATTAATAACTTTCTTCTATTATGAATTATCTCTCTATTTCACTTAAACAACTTATTCCTATTATTATTGAGGATTTGGTTTGACTTTCCATATAATCTTTATATCTGATAATGGTTCCATAACATTAGTTTTAAATGTATCTTAAATCAATTTATTGACTATTTCATGACAATCAAGCCATGCATTTTCAATTCCTAATATAGCTTATTATCTATATTCGTATTGTTAATTCAATTATTTTTCTGTAACCTTTTTGAATTTACTTGGAACAGGTACATCTTAAGTTTAAAGCTATAAATTTAATTATCTAATTATATCTCTGTCTGGATCAATATTGATATTATCAGGATCTAAAAATATAAGATGATTTTCATCTAAAATATTATAAAAATTATACTTTTTGATTTTGCAATAGAACCAAAACTTTACATAAACTATTCTAAACATTAACCTGCTGGTCTTCTTTAAAATGTATATATTTCAATTTTCATAGAAAGCTATGCTAAAAATCTTTCAAAATTCTATTAATCTAAACTAAATTGATCAATCTTATTTTCAGAGTATTTCTAATTTATTGCTTTAACATATGCTTGTACTTCTTCCTTTGACATATTCACTTAATAATCTTTTAACATTCTCATTATATCAGATAACTATATAATTTCATATTATTCTTAAAGTTCTCCAAAATATTATTTTTTACTTGCTTAATTAGTTGTATTAGAATATTTAGAAAATAAATATTTCATTGCTTTATGATTCTTTTTAATAGCTACACTCATAGATTCATAATCATGTGTTTCATGATCATCCAAATCAATCAATTCAACTTTCTTTTCATCAACTTTATCAATAGCTTTTACAGTAGTTCTTTTTTAAATCTCTTATTATGCTTTCTTTTGTAATATTTCAATTCTTTTTCTCTTTTCTTCTTCTTCTTATTATTTCTTCAGTAATTCTTCTTCCTTTTTTAATTTAATATTAGCTATATTTTCTAAAACTTTAGGGTCTACCTATTAAGGTTTTTTCTTCACTTATTATGATTAGGTATTTTGAGTAGAAACAATAGGTTACTTTCCTCTTTCTAATTCTACTACTCTCTTTTTGAATCCTACACCATTTTAAGCCAAAAATTTCTTTTCGTCTTCCAATTCCTTTTATCTTAAATCATTAAAAGGATCACCATCATTTTTTGATTTTTTCTCACTCTTTATAGTTTAAGGAGTTTATTCTGCAGAATGCAATTACTAATTTTACACAAATTCATTATCAATAATTAATTGAGATTATTTTAATATTTCATCCTATTCCTATTTATCAGCTTCCCATTATTATTTAATAACTTAAACTATTTTCTCAGGATTACCAAACATATTTAATAATGTAATTACTCCCTTATCCTTAATATTTATATTTTATCTAATTATAAACAATAATAATTTTACAATTCAATATAAAAATGACATAACAAAGGTTTTATTTATTCATTTAATTCATCTTATTACATATTTATAATGAATTTAATTAATTCAATTATTTGAGCTCTTTTTTAAGCTTCAAGTATTTCATGATCATTATTATGTTATTATAATGCTGTGAGGATAGATAAATCATTTGTTTTTACCTATTGTCTCTTACTCTTTAAACTGCCATAATGTAATGCTAAACCAATTTTACACAATTTAAAAGCATATTCTCTCAACATAGGAGATTCTGCAAAACGTGCCAAAAGAACTTAAATTGGATTTAATGATAAATGTGACATTGTTACACTATTTAAATATATTTTAGCAAGCAAATCCAATAATAATATAGCCAATCTTATTTTCATCTTTGGATGTTTACTAATAAATTTAAACAATATCATATCTGTTAAGTTAACTAAAGCATCATTCAACATAACCTATTTTATCAAAGGTTCTAATAGAATATCAATAGGAATAGATGAGTATTTTTGTATTAAATACATAAAATTGTTTAACATGAATTCCCTAACATCCAATTCATTATAATTTTCAATTAGAGTAAATGTTAGTTTTTTATATAGAACTGCTGCATATGGATTTCTATCAGTAGCTAATTTATCAAGTAATCTAAATAACATATTAAGTGAAAAATATTTCAAATTATTTGAGATATCTCTAGTGCCCTTTTTCATTAAAAATAAATATTGATTAGGATAATTTTAGTCTTCTTCAAATTAAATTGGATATAATAACCAATTTAATGTTAAATACTTAAGACCTTGTATCTTAATTGGCAACTGATCAGAATCTGACATTTTTAATGCTGCCTATGCCCAATATTGTATAATCCCTTATGAAATTAATTCATCCTTTAGAGTTTTCTATTAGTATAGAAATTCAATCAAAGAATTTAACATGTCAACGCATTTGTCAGCTAATTATTTTTTGAATTAGACAGTAAAAAAATCAACAATATTAAATCTAGCTACTTAACTGTATAATTCACAAATTTAATTCAATAAATTTGGATGTCTTTACATACATAAAAAGGTGGCTGCCAAACCTCCATTTTCCTTGCAGAACCATTCATATCCTAATTAATGCATTTCCATTTCAGAAAGTTCAAAATATGTTCTACCCATTATCCTTAAGGTCCAAAGAGTAATTTCTTATTCTTTTGACAATAATCCTGGTTTTATGGTTGCAAAAAAATAATGAATATTAGAATCTTATTATTCTAAAAAATTGAATACTCTAGAAATGTTAGCATAAATATCACTTAACCAATTGATCAAAGTTTCAAATTCTCCCTTGACTCCTTTTACAAGTAAATGAGCTAAATATTTATTACCATTAGACAATAAAGATGCAGCTTATTAAGGTTTTAAAGTTAGATGTTTAGATAATCCTGTAATAAAAAATTCAAGTAAAGATTTAGACTCATTTAATGGTTTTTTAGTATCTAATTCATCTAAAATTAATTCATTATTATTTCCCTAAATATCATATTTAGTTTATGGTAATTTCGATGCTGGTCTGCTTGGTGGTTTCTTTTAAGTTTCAAAAGAGGAATCCTATGAGGATCTAACTGACCCTCTAGTTTATGATTTTCTATTGATTTGATTATCTAATTCCATCATATCCTTGAGTAGTTCATTCATCATTTCGGTGTCTCCATTTACAATTAGATTTTTAATATCGTTGTCCAAAGGCAAGTTAATTTTTTGAAATGCATCTTATAAAATATTCCAATTGAATAATTTAACTCCTGGAGTAAGTTAATTTTTCATTTAATCACTTAAATTTGGGACATGCTTTATATTAATTATAATCTTTACTATAGATCTTGCTTCAAGCATTTTATTTAAGGCCTCTCCAAATTTGATGCCATTAACAAATAATTTACTTTGGTTCTCATCTAATTCAACTTTACCAGTGTTTTTCACTTATTAAGGTTTAACAATAGTAAGAGATAATAACCATTTATAGACATCATGATCAAGTGAAACTTTCATTAATATATTTTATATAATTATACTAAAATACTAAGATAATTTAATAAACCATTCCAAATTTTGTAAAAATAAGAATTTTTCAGATTCATTTAATATCAAATCAGTTGTTTTTCTTGATTTTTTTAGAGTCAATTTTCAATTCTCAATTTTAATATCAAAATAATACCTTTATTAAACATATAACTAAAAAGAACATATTTTTATTGAATAAATAAATGAAAAACAAACAAATTTTTTAATTTAATCAATTTAGACATAAATTGTAGATTAATTTTATAAGCAATTATAAAATCTTTAATTTGTCTAATTTCTATTTAAAATTTATTAAAAAGTACTAAGATTTTAATTAAGTCCTCTAATCATATTTAAGTATTATTAAATAATGTGTCAATAATTTTGAGTAATTTAGTATGAATACAGAATATGAAATTAAATAGTTCTCTCTAAATTTATATCAATTTATATATAAACTTAATTTTAAATATCTAAATCAAATTTTTGTCCTTCTACTCAAGATTCAATATATTAAATTAAACTAAACTGAATATTTCATAAGTAAATTAAAAAAATAACTCTAATACAATAAAATAAACATCAATTTTATGCACATCAATGAATTAGAATCTGCAACTCTATTCCTTATTATTCTTAATCGATATGACTAGTATTTTAATATATAAAGGCTATAACAAATAAAGCTCCACTCATTATTACACTAGTTTTATCAAAACCTACTTAATCTATAAATATTCCTCCTATAATAGGTCCAATTAAATCTCCTAATGACCATCCTGCAATCAAAAGAGTTGAACCAACCTCGGCTGCTTAATCTTTGTGTTTATTTTTCTCCATAATTTAAACAAATAAAGGCATTATAATAGCAGGTCTAGAAATTAAAAAAAGAATTACGCTGATCCAATTCCTATTCCTCTTATTACATCTGCAAAACAAATAATATAAATAGACTATGGTAATCCTATCATAGATGGACCATAAAGTAAAAGACTAATAGCTCCAACATAGAGGCAGTAGGTATAAAGCTAATTTAAAGTATACTTTTTCTATTCAGCTATATAATAAGCTCCAAAGAAGCTTACAAAAGTGTAAATCATAAATAGGAATTAAGAATTTGCATCATCTAGATTATAAACTTCCAATAATTAAACAGACTAATATCAATTGATATATATTACTAAATAAGTACGTAATGCTTATGCAGTTACTCCTAAGAAGAAATAAGAAGTAAATGTCACATTCAATTCATGAATTTTAAAAACTTCATAATAATTGATTTAAACATCTTGTTGCTCTTGATTGATGTTGAATATCCTTTCATCAAGAAATAACATTACACAAATAGCTATGAAAAAGTATAAGAATGCCACAAAATATAAGGAATATTGAAAAGTATTAAAGCTATAAATATTTCCTAGAATAAATAGAACACCACTTATCAAAGGACCGCAAATTAAACCAAAGTTGCAGGCCATTTCTAATTTGGCAATTTTTTCTGAAATTTGTTCTGAAAATAAGTGTCCAGTTATTGAATATGAAGGTACCTAAATCATGGTATTTGACTAAATATTTAATAGATATATTTACAATTCCTTACAAGAATCTTAAAATTGATGAAAGAATAAAAAAAAGAGGTCCATTCAAAAAATATGAAATCCCCAAAATAATTGATATAATCAACTAACCTAATAAACCCTATAAAATGATTTTTTTAGTACTATGCATTTTCCCCAACATATAGGAAGCTAATATGCATCCAAGTGGGTAAAAACACATAATAATACCAATTCCAGCTTCTGTGAATCCCTTTTCTTTTATTAATGGAGGAAAAAGTGGTATCATCATCATATAACTTGCATTTGCCATCAATATCAACATTACTAAAATGATGAAGGATCTATCTCTATTATATTAGAGAGAACTTTTGTAGACGTCAATCATTTTGTTAAATTTAAAAAATAATAAGACTTGATTTTTAATAATACGCCTTAAAATGTTTAAAATTACACTGATAATTAATATTATTTAAAAAAGTGAATGTTAAGTTCTAATAAATAGCATAAAATTAATGTTTTATTATTGATTTTGAAATATCATCTTATAAGAAACAAAATTTATTTTTTTCTTTTTTATATAAATTTACTTTTTTATCAAAGAAATAATCAATAAAAAAATATTAAACTGATTTCCCAAAATTTGATAAAGAGTTTAAAATTAGGCTAATTTGTTTATAAATATGTATATTTTTTAATTTTAACATAGAGAAGTATCGAAATTAGATAATTATATAGGACTTATTTATATTTAAGATGGGGACTTCATAAATAATCAATGATCATAAATTTAGGTTATACAAATTAATTTAGCAAATGATGTATAAATAAAATATTCACAAAACTAATCAAATTCATATGAGAACTTTATTAATTTATTGGAATCATATTATTTTTGATATCTTTTTTCCATTATAATCTAAATATTTTAATTAAATTAATATGTCGAAGTTTTCATAATTTTTAGAGGACATCAGCGATTTTAAAGAAAGGCCTGTCAAATTAAAACAAATAAAAAAGGTTCTAAAGATTAATGAGAAGAGCTTTCCTCCATGCAAAAACATCTTGAATTATTATTTCTAAGAGTTTTCAAAGTAGATTATAATACTATAATGTAGACGTACAAATGAGGAACATCGTACTAAATGGCATAGAAAGGATAAAATTTTATTTGTTTGGACTGTGTTGAAATATTTTGAATTTACAAATAAAAGTGATTTAAACCCTGTAATATGAATTTAATATGATAGTCTGAAGATGATTGGCATTATCTATCAAATGTCTTAGGAGTAACAGAATAATTATTGAATTTAAAATGGATTAGCATGCTAAAAACTAATCTTAAAATGGCCCCTTGGAACCCTGAGGAAGATGAAATATTGTAAAACTTAATCACAGATCCAAATGAAAATAAAAATTGGACTTAAATTACAATAGATTTCAATAGAATAAATCCAGCTAAAATAGTTAGACATGCTAAATAAATTAGAGAGAGATGGAATAATTATTTGAATCCTGAATTGAAAAAGTATAGCTAATTATATAATTAGATCTGAATGGTCATAACCTGAATAATTACAATTATTATTGCTAGTTTAAGAAATTGGAAAGAGATGGTCTCTTATTTCAAAAAAGATATCAGGAAGAACAGAAAATTAGGTAAAAAATCAATACAATTCGATGATGAATACTTATCGAAGACAAAATGTATGAAACAACTTAAATCTTTAGTAGCTAGATAACGAAGATATAGCAATTAAAAAATTATTGGCTAATTTATAGGGAAAAGATTATGAAGGTCCCTAACCATTGACTAGTAAACGCATAAGAAAAACAGTTAATAATAATAATAATAATGTTACTTTATATTAAAATACTATTAATGATTAAAAGAATATATAAATTGAAAGTAATGAAATAAAAGAAGAACATTAATAAGATTAATAATTGTAATCATAATAAATACTATAATAATAATAATAATAATAATAGTTATTATTATCTTAATAATAATAGATTTAATAGTAGCAGCAATAATAATCACTAATGCTTGGATTACCTGTATTTTCTCCAATGTTGCCTTTCTCTCCATTACATTATTTAATTAGTATTTAATTTACTTATTTTTTAAGAATCAAGTCCAAATAATATATCCTCACCTTATGAAATGAGAAATAAGAATTATTCTAGTTAATTACAACTTTTTGATGAATATATGAAATCTACAAACAATCTTGACTAAAGTGCCCCTTAATCAGAAGTTCCTTGTTTATTAAGGTTATTTAATTCGCCTGCATTTAACCATTAAGGGTTTCCTTATGCAACAATGCCTTACTAATAACCTACATAACAGTAACCTGCATATAATACAAAAAAAATAAATAAAATTCAAAAAGAATTGCTAAAATTTGATAAAGATTTAAATAGAGATTGATCTTTTTAATTTTATCTAATAATATAGTATTTTTCGTAATTTATCTAATAATAAGCATTAATTATTAAAGTTTAATATAGAATATTCATTATCAATCATTTAATTTAAACTGATCTCCAATAATAATATTTAAGAATTGCAAATTATTATTTATATTTTATTTTATTTGAACAATTAAATTATATCATATAGACAGAATTTGATATTAAATTATTAGATTACATATTAGAATTTAGATTATGTTCCTATAATACCTTTTAAGTATTAAATGTAAATTAAAATGAATAATAATATTGATTTTTTACTAAACTTTATTTTTATGTTTATACTATGTCTTAACTAACATAAAAATATTATTATTTATCATGAGTAAGAGAGTTTTTAATAACAAAAGTTAATCAAAATATTTAAAATATTTGTCTACTTTTAGATTGTGATAAATAAATTATAAAAATTTCAAAAAGAAAATTATTAAAATATAGAGAAAAGTCAATCAATAATATTACAATCTAATAGAATATTTTAATTTACAAAAATTGGATGTTTTAATTTAATAATGAGAAAATATTAGTTTAAATGAATTAATCAAAAAAACAAAAATAAAAATTAAGCTCACCCAGAACTATCAGCATCACTGCTAAATGAACTGTCTCCAGTGTCAGGTTGTTTTTGTTGAGCAACTGGTTATGGAGCATAGTTATAAGTAGTATTAGCTGTATGAACCTTAATAATATTTTTAATATTTTACTATTCTATCAGTCTTATCTTATGCTTTCGTTTCTTCTGCAACTTTTTTACTTTATTATTTTTTTAAGTATTCCAATTTCGTATTTACATATTTTTCTAATTGCCTTGTTTTTTTTACAGGTAATGTATCTATATCGAATTCCAATTCATCACTTTATTCTTATATTTTTAATCCATCAGACACTATCTCCCAAACACCTCTTAAGTGTTCAGGTGGTAAACTATTTATATTTGAAACTAAAGCTCTCTTTTCTTACATATTCATTGGTTATTCCATTAGACTTGGTTATTTTCTAAAGATTTAATAATATATTTATACACTGGCTTCTTATTATTGACTGGTGCTTATTGCACTGCAGGAGGTTTCTTTTATTATTTATCAGCTTTAACTGGTTAATCAATTATTTATTTTTATGGATATGGTTTATCTAATTCTTTATACAATTCATTAAAGTGTTATTCAAGTTCTTATGTCATTGCATATAATTAAGAACCCTTGCTGTTCATCGTATAGGACATTTACCATATTTTCTTTATGTCTACCCAAAATTGAGTAGCTGTCTGATAAACATCTTATCATTGTAAAAAGATATAGTTACTATTTTTGAGATTCTGTTCGACTATTTATAAGTCAACATATTCTAATTCTTAAGGATAATTGACATTATCCAATTTTCTTAAAAATGGTGCTGCTAATTAATGTTTCTTCAATTTTTATAGTAATGTCATGCATCTTTTCATTTCATCTGTATTTTCAGCTCGATAAGGTGCAACATAAGTTTTTTTAATGACTTTATTATCTTCATCTGAAGAAATATCCTATTGGACTTTCTAAAATTTTATAATTTTATTCTAAAACTTTGACATCTCTTTTTGATTATCTGCTTAAATTAACACTAAATCCAGGAGGTAATTTTTTAGCAATCACTCTAGCCTGATCAGAGGTGAGAAGGACTTAAAAAACATCATCTATTTGCTAGTAATCAAAAATTAAAATTAAATCGTACACAAAAGGTAGTCATAGTTGTTGTTATGGTTTCTAAAGGAAGAGAGGTTCTTTTGAAAACAAATTATTTTAATTATTATTTTTTTGATGATTTCAATTTAAAACCCTTAAAAAATATGACCGGGGTATGAAAAATCATTAAAAAAATTTAAATATTTCAATATATCGTAAAAAAAATATATTAAATAGGAAGAGAGAGCATCAAATGTACTCTTAAACAAAATTGTTCATTATATATAGAATAAATTACCTTTATGGTTGTTTGAAATTCCTCTTATAGATTTTATTCAATGAATATCACAATTTAATTATTCATAGATCAATCAGAGATTCTTTCTAATTTTGTATTTTACCCTAATAATACTCAAATATTCATTCAGTAATTTGGGCTTACATAGTTTGTTCCATAAGAAAATGATTACAAAGTTTTCTATAATTTTTTATTTTTATATTAATAATTAAATTCCAAGAAAACTGCAGATCATACTTAGTTAGAATTCATATCAATATGAAATTAACAAAAACAAAATTGAATTAATTGTTTCAAAGCATTTTCCAACTATTCTTACTTGGTTAAGTAGTATTTATATTTGAATAAGAAAAAGAACTTGAACTCTCTTAATCTTTGTTTAAACCTATAATCAATCAAACTTTTACCAGGTGAAGAATTTCTAATCTTCTATCTCATGTTTTAAGGATTACCAACATGACTGCTTTTACATTTTTGATCATCTTAAGAAATTTCATATTATATAATATTTACTTTTAATTGCTGGTGAGAATGTTCTTGTATTCACTGTTGATGGTTTTTACACTAAGGTTATGCCGGCTGATTAAATACTATCCTTTCCTTTACTAATTAGACTAATTCTAAATAATACATCTGTTTAATGCTATAAGTTTTTTCTGTCAATTCTTATAAAACCCTAATGGGTTGATTTTTTAAAAATTATGCTTAACTTTTTGTTAAACATTAAGGTGATATTAATTTTTTCAGATGATTAACATCAGAAACTAATCCTTAAACCACTTTTTATTGCATCCTTGAATCCATTTCTATGTTTGAATTACTATTGTTGTTAAAACTATTATTATTCTACACTTAATTAGCACTTTGATTTAAATATTTATCTTAAAATGAATTATTAGGTTTCTACTGATTCCTTAAAGTAGATGCAGCTTATCTTCTACATTAAACATTTCTAAGATAGATTTAAGAATTTGATTAAGGTAAAGGAGGTCCATATTATTGCATTTTCTTAATTGGATCTTTTTGAAATGGAGATAAACTATCTTTTTTTTGAATGCTATTGTTTTTTTATTGATCTTTTATATCAGCACTATTTGGTCTATTTTTACTATCTAAATCATCCCCTTTTTTTATGAGAGAACTGCTTCTATCTTAAATTTTAGATAAATTTGCTATATTTGTTAGATTTGTAGTACTTAATTCTGCTGAAATTTTACTGTTGTTTTGTTATTGAATTTGAGTAGTTGATTATGATGGTTTAATTTAACTTTTCATTTATAATTATTAAAATTTTTAGTAACTTGATTATAATTATGATATTGATTATGTTAAGGTTTTTTAAATTTCTGAATGTTTTGTTGAACTCATTGTAGAAATGAATGTTGGACTGATTAATTGATCTAATTTAGTTTTTTATTAGGACCCTGAATTACATTATTATATTTATAATTTTGAATCATTTTATTAAGATGATAAATTTGAGATATTAGATTATAAAGGTTATTATTATTATTATTATTATTATTATTATTATTATTATTATTATTATTATTATTATTATTATTATTATTATTATATAACATTGATTAAATTTCTATCCATATTTAATAAAGTTTCAGACTATTTATTAAAATAATTTAATGATTATTACACTTAATTTTTAAATTCTTAAAAATTAGTTAATATAGATGGAGAAGCATCCTTTTATTTAACAGAACTTGGACGATTATTTGTAAGATCAATTTAAGTCTTCTTTTCATCATTTTATTATAAAGATGTACTTCTTACTCCACTTGGTTAATTAATGAATTAAGGACTTAGTATTTAATCTGATGATATTGGTGAACTCTTTTTTTCCAATTATGAATTTTACTTTTATCTTTATGCACAATGGATTAATAAATTTTAAAAGGATTAATTATTACTCATTTAAGTATTTTACTCATAATTATCTTATTAATAAATGTATTTATTTTAATTAGGACATTTTGGAAAATTATGTTAAATTTATGGCTATTTTGCAGGTTAATTTAATGTAGTTTTTTATACTCCCTAATAATTATTATTAGCTTACTTTTAATATGGATTAACAATCATTATCTTCTTTCACTTTAATTTCTGAAGTTGACACAAAATCTGGAGATCCACTATAGACTAATGTGGATAATTAAATGTTTTCTTTATTTAGTTAATCTTTCCATTTAATTTTTTGATTATAAATCTTTCCTAATACTTACTATTATTTATTTAAAATTCTTACTAATTTGGATTATAAATTGGTATAGATGTCATCTACAGGTCCATTTTATGAATTGAGAAAAGTGTTTCTTATAATTAATTCTTCTTAAATTTATTGAGGATTCATCTCATCTTTTGTTAATTCATTCCAAGATGCAGTTCTTTTAGGTCCAGATTTATTCATTTTAGATTCTAATGCATTTAATTAATAAAAGAAGGATGCCCTTATTTCAAGATCTGGTCTACGAGAATTGAGATATTCAAGTGTTTTGTAGAGTGTCCATGAATACCTTATAATTTAAATAAATTAACGAACTTTTTCATAAAATAGGCAGCCAATACACAACATGCTCTACTTTAACCTCTAAGTGAATGAACTAAACAACTTTCACCTTATTAAAAACATTCTTCAATGAATGCATAAATTTTATTTACATTTTCATTTTTATCATCAAATAAAACCTTTTTAATGGTATGTTTTACTTCATTATCTTATTCAAGCCAATTGAATGTAAGATATTTAACATTCATCATGATCCACTTATTCTAAACTTCTGTACCAGAACAATTGATTATATGTGTTACTTTATTATTAATAATGAATTCTCGATCCTTTATTATAAAAAATATGTTACTTGTGATGCATATTCATCTCCTATAAATAAACCATCCTTTATTTTAATAGCTCCCACTATAATATTCTAGGCCATAAAAATGTTTTCAAAAATTTATATAATAAATATTTTATTTAACATGTTA